CCTCTCTCAAGCGCCCCGCCGGTATCTCACGCGGACTCTGCCGCCGGTCCGTGGAGACGTGGAGACGTCTCCGTCGGATACACCCGCCTCTGTCTCGAGACTCTATCCCTCCACCGCAGATTCGAGCGCCTCGACCTCAACTCAAGAATAACAAATCTTTCGAGAGCATTGGCGTAACTGTACGAATCGACTCGAGAGCGCAACTTCTGAGCAGAGTGGCGACTCGAAGATAATCAGAAAGCGAGAACGTTATCTGAATCGGTAGCTGGAGTCGCCTTGTGACCTTGAGTCGAAAATTCACATCACACAGAGTATCGGACTGGCCCCAGAAGCGCCCTCTTAAATAGAGGGTATCTCCGTTGGTACAACCGCCAACGAGATCAGAGTGGTTGCTATTTATAGTTGAAAAAAATATATCTTGACTTTTGAGCCTCCATGACACAAGACTTTAAGAAGGGATCATCCTGTTAACCGGAAGTAGCTACATCAGCATCTATCGTTGTTTGTATCTACTATAGATCAACGTACGGACAGGCGAATTGCGTGACAGCGACGTTATTCAAAAAAACTGATTCCCAGTGCTACACGTTCCTTTCGAGACAACCCGTCCAATTCTGAGCAGATTGCATTCGCGACCGAGGGAAAACGAAAGCTGGTTGACAGGGAGCGATTCCCGTGTCCCGACACCTTCTGGAGATTTATGAAGGGAGCTGCGGTTAGAGAGAGAGAGAGAGAGAGAGAGAGAGAGGTAAAGGAAGTGCGCAATCCGAGTGTGTGCAAAGGAGAAAAAGATATAGAGGAAAAGACAAAAGGAGAAGAAGGTGGAAAGATCGAACGTGCCTGCGAAAAGTTTAGATGAGGGGCAGGCGGGGCAAGTGGGGCAAGCGCGTGCAGAGGGTCTGCCATAATAATCGGGCAGTCTGAAACCCGGCTACTGATCATCTCGCCAGCTGGCGCATCCTAACCCAAGAAAACGCGACAGAAAACCGTCTCGGGAGGTTTTGAGCCTTCCTTAATAGGACGTGAGATGCAGGTGGTTGGGAGGACTACGAACACAAAGGAATACTAACTAGCAACGTACGAGAGAACGTGCGAAACTGCATCTCCCAATTACCGTCTCCCTGCGTCACGCGACAATAGCAGGATGAGATTCAAAGCCCGAGGGCGAATCAAATTTATATAGACATCGAGACCAATTCTGCATGAAGCTGTATCTCTTAACCCATTTGCATTGTATAGGGGTAAGAAGGTTATGCCCCCATCACAAAATCCTTTTTAATAATTCAAATGCAAATATATATAAAACAGCGTACAAAAGAGAAAAACCGTGTCCCTGTGCTAATCCCCAACTCGCATACATGCGCTTTTGACGCAAGTGCCTTGCGAATGCAAATCATTCAAAAAGAAAAAATGGATAAATGAATATGCGGGAAAAGAGAGAATGAAAAATAAAGAGAGAATCCGAATGCACCACGTGGCTCTGACAGGCGTCCAGGATTTGATTGCGCCGCATGAACGTGGGCTGCAGCATAATGAGATGCTGAGGGCGTAATTATTTGACAGCTCGTCCTAGTACGCGCACGTGCTTCGTTATCCTTTGCTCGTCCAACGACAGGAGCGAATGTCGTCGCTGCTGAAAGCTCAAAAAGAAAAGCACACGGGAAGAGAGAGGAAGCTGGAAGGATCGTGCAGGAAACACGTGGCGTAAGCAAAGCTCGAATGATAGCCCTCCAGCCCAGCCCGCCGACCCATTTGATAAGTCTTAAAAAGGACCCTCCGACCACTCGATAGTCCCTGACGCGTGACGCAATAAATTTCACTTTCGAACTTTATGCACGATATCGGCTCTCTCGTTCGCGAATAACGGAACTTCTCTCCCCTCTCTCGCTGGGGCAGAAGGAATATTTACGAGGTCCTGCATCGCAATAAATCTCTGGATACATTTATATTCCTTGGGCTCTCGATTCCTCTTCGTTTCGCGCGCCGGCAAAGAGCTCCCGTGTTTCTGGCCTAATGGCCCTCCATTCACGTCGCGGCTGATCGTACAAATTTCCATCATGGCCATCCGCCGATTGAGACATCGCAGGACTAGCCAGGAAATAAACTGCTTTTCCTAAGCCTAGCGAGTAAGATTCTTAGTCCCGAATAACTAAACTAAACGAGGATTACGGACACCTGAAGCTGGGCGAACGATGCTTCCCGTTCTAAGACACTGCTGTACGACCGGTTGCCGATCGCCAGGCGCTCCTCGCATCGCTACAGGTCTCTCAATAATAAATCTTACTAGCACGCAGGATAAAGATTCTGCAAGCTTGCCAACCAGTTTCCACGTCGAAGCGCACAAAGTTTAATCTCATCACGTTAGTGTGGCGTAAAATAAAACTTCCTGCTTGCGTAATTAGCACACGTGACGCGAAAGGAAGAAAGAAAGCGACAAATGCGTCCTATTTATTTCGCGAATACTTCATTATTATAAATGCGTATCTTTCCGTCCAAACAAATTCCTTCATTACTAAAAATCATTTATCTCATCAAATTTAGTGCGCCATTCGAGATTTTTTCCTTCTGACTCCAGAATTTACAAAACTTCACAGACCATGGTTCGCTTTCGCAACTGCCACCTTTTTCCGTGTACTATAGCCACAAAAATATAAAACAGCTGGTCGCGCCTCATTAACATTATCATCGTCACCGTTATTATCAATTTATCGATACAAGCATTTGTCGCATCACAATTCCGAAAGGATGAAAAAGAAAGATGATGAATGAATTATCTGTCGTGAAAAATAATTATATACAGAATATTACGTTGTTACGCAATGTCCAAGTGTGTTTTCCTGAAGTATCCTTTTATTCAGGAAATTGAAAATGGGCTCAAGGACAAAGAGTGGAGAGCTGAGAGGGGCACGAGGAAAAAAATAAAACTACAAAGAATTCTAAGATACCCATTTTGTTGGGACCTCAATAGAGGAGGGAGCATGATTATTGGGGACAACTCAGAGTAACCCAATTGTAACATAATATTCATAATATATTTTAGATATATAATAATTCATATATATATATAATATATATATATATATATATATATAATAAGGTATAGGTTTGTTTTTAGCATTATAGTACATTTGTGTTCAAAAGGGGTGCTGGCTCGTTTGATACTTAAAAAGAGTTTGAGGTTCTATTCTTACAAGAAAATTAAAGATGATGGCTAAATGGTTGAGTCAGTGTCTGAACAGAACAAGCTTCGCCGTCCCTCGATTAATTTCTTGAAAGCTCTAAGCACCGTCGCATTTTGCATAATAAAAAAACTGTATTCACTCCTGTTTGAAAAGTTGTCATTGCATAGGAAGGCAAAAGTAAGAGAAGAAAAGGAAACGTATGAAAATTATGTTACATGCCCCTTTCGCTCCTGGACAGACAGACATGTGCTGGATTGCACCGACGCTCTAATTTTAATTATTAATATATAGTTTTATTTGTCGCAGCGAATAACAAAACCGCACGGTAGTACCTCATCATCCAGTCGTTGAGCCTTAAGACGATTCGAATAACGCCAGAAGGCGCGCCGTATCCTTTGCCTATAGACTAATATTCTTCTTCTTCTTATTATTATTATTACTACTACTACTACTGTTATTACCATTTTACTATTACTATTATCATCGTCATCATTATTACTATTATTATTAAGCGACATCAGCATTCAAGAATAATCGATTCTCAATCGCCTCCTGCTAAGCTCATCCTGGCCAGTCATCACTTTACAACTGGTCGATACGTCATGATCAGATCTCAAAATAATAGTGTACATGTACATATATATAGGTATACACTTCCTGTTGGCTATTCAACTTTTAAATTTGTCCTTTCTGTCTTCTATGATAAAAGAGCACATGTATGTTAGACGACGCGCAGCTAGCTCACTGGGCCCACCATGGTTGCTGTATTTATATTGGGAACGCATAAATTCCAAAAGCTCTAAGTCAAAAGAAATCAAAAGAAGTGCTTCACAAATAAATACTATTATTCTAATGCTTTTTCTTCTTTGCTCGAGTACCAGGATAACGGCCAATAGAATATTACCATTACATTGTCATAAATGCTTTCTTTCTTCTAATTTGAAATGTCAGCTTTCCCCAAAGATCTTTCATCAAATACTCCTCTCTGTAGTTCGCACTGATTGGTGACACGTCATAACTGGATATTTTGTCGTGCCACGAATGAATTGCCTTACTTCTAAATTTCGTTACAGCTAGAGTACCTCTATATATATTAAATATATTTTTGGTTCTTATTAGTATCACTTAAAACGGTACTAAATTCGCAGTACGAACTCTTTGCGAGTGAATTATTTCGAATAGCATATGGATACTCGTGGTGACAGTCGGCATGCCAACTAATTTTCACGAAAACGATGCGTTTGATTTCCTTTATACTGCCGATATTGATAATCATTGCCTTTCCCAATATAAATACAATTAATTATTTCTTCCCTTAACTCTGTCTCTCTCAATCTATTTATTTTTCATACTCACGCGCATCCGCTCTTATTCAATCATTCCTGCAGTCACTCGATAGGCTACCTGCGTCACAGCAAGATATTGACCGTTAGACGTGAGGGAGACAAAGCGAAATTCCTCAATTTCATCGGGGCTGCGCGACAAGCCAAGAAAATATCTACGATCAACGTCATGAAGTAGAATCGAATGAGTCAAACATCTTATAAGATATTTCTGCAATTCTCCCGTGCTCGCTACCCTTCTGTGCTCTCCCACTATACTGTCAACGTCCTTAATACGATTGCGCATCCTATCAGCTGTAAATTAACGCTACGCTTTTTCTTTGTTATCTTGTATTTTCTCAACTTCCCAGCGGACTCAAGCGTAATGCAGCAGGACATCTAAGTTCGATAAAGAGAGGCAACTCGTAAAGGAAAGCGAAAGGGGATGAGGGACTCGACTTGCGAGGCTTGCATGTAATGATGTCAAGTGTGAAAGTTGTCTGTGTTATGTAGTATACGTGTATGAAGTGATACAGTATAAAGTAACGCGTGTCCATGGAAGAAGAAAAAACAAAAAGTGAAAACGGCTGTTGCAGTTACGATTTGAAATAACAACTTGGTCATTTGCGATGAGTAATTATATTTCGGGGGATCCTACGTACAAATCAAACGCACCGATCGTTCTCCTATAGCTCCTTCCAATCTCCAGAAGAAAAAAATAAAAAGAATACCAAAAGAATGACTACGGAGTCCCTGTTTTTCTCCATGAGAGCTCAAAGACGTGTCTAATGCTACATTAGATTAGTCTGCCAATACAAATGTCGCCGTATTAGGTCAACAATCTGATGCCAAATACAACTTTTCTTAATTTTGTCTGATATAATTTTTCCGATTATCGCACGCGGTTCACTCGTATATAATAGCGGCTCTTTCAGAAATGACAGTAGATATACCTCGATATCTAAAGGCCAATGGAACATGTCCAATCTCTAGGAAAAGTCGGATTCAACTACATTTTAATTGTAATTGAAAGTGATACCTTCATGGTTTCATGGCTGCCATGGTCAGTGGAAACAGCTTTGAGAACGTGCGGTGCGCCTGGACGTCAGTAGATAATGTAATGTAACAAAGTCCTACATAGAAAGAAGCTAGGGGAATAGTTCAATGATCGTCCGCGTCGTGGATACGCTGACGTTTAGGTTGTTGCTGCTGATGCTCAGGCGGCTCCGGACTCTCGACAATGGCAAGGGGGGCCGGTGAGCCTGGCGAACTATCCGGTTCCTCGTGTGCTCTCTTACCACCCCCAACGCCTGCGTCAGGTCCAATGAAACTCCCACTGAAACAATGTTTACAAAACGATACATTCAAACTGCGCTCGGCCACCATAAGGTAAATACTACGTACAAATTTATAAATTAATTATGGTACGCGTACCTGTAATTATAGGAGGTTTGTACGATAACAGGAGCTGGACTGTATTGTCCAGCAGGGGACAACGAGTGCTCCTCCACTACGTTTCCAGGCACCAAGTATTTTTCTGGACCGATTGAAAATCACAAATTGAATAAAAGTTGGACTCTCAATGTATCTATGCGAGTACACATCATAATATATACCTTCTCTGGCTATATCGCCACTGACGCCATTTGTCACAATCGTGATCTGCTGCATAAGACGACCTTTATGAGTGGGAGCTGATGGCGGAGCGTAAGGATGACCGGGTGAACCTGGAGCAGACTGACTCGTTAGCTGTCCCGCAGGAGATGGCACGGAGCTGTCTGGATATGATTCGGGACCTGGTGAACCTTCCCGGCTGAGACACTCGGGAGTCATTAATCCACTGATTCCCACGTGCGACGGCGATGCTGGTGCGCTTCTGTTTATGATAATCAATGGAAAACTTTTAATTGTCAAAGAAACGTTAGGTTTAGCAGTTTAGTCCGAAAACAAGTACTATGGGAAACGCATAACGATACATAACGATCAAGAAATCTTAGTCTCCACTAAGTGACAGAGTATTCTATGACTCACGATGAATAATAATAATCATGCTGGCTCACAAATCTCTATGCTTGTGCGTTTGTACGTTATCGTAATGAAAATAAATTCACTAAAGATTCATCAGATCAGCTCAGACGACGCCGTACAAACCTTGAGGATAATCCAAAAGGAGCCCTGAAGCACGGAACGCCACGTTGCCTTCTCCGCCTGAAAGCTTGCTCTATGAGTTTGGCCTCCGATTGTGGGTCTATCCTCCAAAAGGATCCTTTGCCAGGTTCCTCCTGACTGCGGGGTACTTTGATGAAGTAACGATTGAGAGATAGATTATGCCTGATCGAATTCTGCCATCCTTTATCGGCAGTTCTGTAGTATGGATAGTTCTTCGTGATGTAAGAATAGATGCCTGATAAGGTGAGTTGTTTATCAGGCGCTGATGCTATTGCTTGTACGATCAGTTGTGCATAGGAGTATGGCGGTTTCGAGTCATCCTTAGGCGGACTGTAGTGAGCCGCGGTGCCATTTGGACCTGCACTGCTTCCACCTCTGTAGCGTGACTCCACGCCAGGCTCCGGGCTCATCTGTCTGCTGGAACTCTGGCCACTCTCGTGCCTCTCTATTCCTGAGTTTTGAGGATCATTTGCTACGGCCGCGGCATATGCGGCCACCATTTGCAAATCAGCCGATATGTTTCTCCTGCCCTGACCGGCACGCGGACTGGCCGGACACGAGTTTGCTGCACTGATCGTCCCTGTTGGAGATGGGAACGGACTGCTATACCCTGTGTCGGGAATATTGATGCGCAGTGGTGGTAATGGAGCCCTCTGCTTTGGCGGTGAAGGAACACGAACGTTACCTTGCTCCTGCTCGTCCACTAGTGATTGGAACACCAGTCTTATATTTGTACTCGGAAATCTGAATGTGCACCTGAAAAATAAAAAAAAATGAAACTAATTAACATTTCATAATCAGATCCATGTGTCAACAATTGATGTCACTATGGTGATGAATCGTTTTCAAGTTTTCTTCACGTTTCCCTAAAGTGTTATTCGATTTAAGTTTATTTTGGATTCTGCTACTTATTATTGCTGTAACGCCTTTAAATATAAGCAGCGTTCTGAATGGAGTATCTGTGTTATGCAAATTCATGTTGTGTTGCATGTGTGTATTTTATAAGGATCGTTTTGGCACACGTTGCATCATGCAGAGACAAATGACTCTTCAGTGTTTTCCGCTTTATCTCAGCCGCCACTCTGATGTCCCGTTTAAGCAAATAGCCCAAAGCAATCTCTATAAATAGGTTATGTGTAAACAGAAATACTAATTGCACTGTAAATGAAGTACCACGTGGAATTACGATTTGAAAAAGTGTTATCCTCTGAACTTTGCAGGATTGCTCAGAAGAACACGCTTCTGTGAATAAAACATACTTATTTAGTGATTGCTACATTAATTTTTTTCTTTCAAATAGTTGACAATATATAGCATCATAGGGCTCTATCGTCCAAGTGTCTTCACTCAGGTATGCAAGTCAGTTGCTTAGAGTGGTAGCTATAAATAGAGCACAAGAATAAACAAATAGGTTTCATATGGAATTTCTGCACTTGCGGACAACCAAATACTCAGCCTGTCAGAATATTTTAACAACAAAACAATAATATGCCCCACGTATTATGTGTTTACGAATATTACATATATTTCAGAAGCTAGGAGAATGGTATGGAAATAAAATGTCTAAGAAAAAAAAATGTGTGTCAACGTCAATAGTTTTAACCTCTACGCTCAGTCCTATTCATACTACTTTAAACTGAAGTCCCAGTAGCGAATGTTATTCAGTCACCGATGTAGAAAAAATATTGTTAAATTTCATTGCAATGGTAACACATAAAGTGCAGGAAATCTTTATGCATGAATCAGTCATGCAAGTTATTCTAGTTATATCAAGAGATGCTGACTCATGTACTGGTTTAAGCAGTACTTGCTGTTTGTAGAATCAGTAATTGTTTACAGTAAGGTATTGTTTACATCGAATGGAATCAGAATTGACAGTACAGAGAGGGCACTGGTCTAGCCTATAAAATTTCCAAAGAGTGAATAGCACTGCGTGAGAGAATATAACAGACAAAGAGAGTAAGTGTAAAAGTATGAAACAGAGACATTGGAAAAGAGAGATGCAGGAAAATAACAAGTGGTTAAATAAAAGGGAAGAGGATGAGTGATAGAATATGAGAAAAAGAAGGAATTTACGTTTTTGGCAACTGAAAAGCAGGAGCCCCCTTCCTCTGGAAGACCCCGTCCACGAAGACACCGTTCTTTCCGTTGCACATCATGAAGAAGTAGGGATGGTCGTAGAATATCTCGAGGTGCCGTCTCGAAATGAAGCTGGAGTGACCCATGTTCACGTCCACCTCACCCTTGCTGCTGTTGCGCCCGATGGTGATGCGCCTCTGGCGCACCATATACTCGAATTCCCGTCCTTCGAGACGTGCTATCGGTGCTCCCTTGGACTCCGGGTTCCATTGCACCTTGGTCGGGCTCGCCGGTGCCGATTTGAGAGCAAGCAGCGCCCACGCGTCGCTCTCCTGCGTCCGGGAATACGTAGACATCGTGATCTCTCCTCGCGGACGGACAGAGAGGACGAGCCGTACTCTGGCCGCACTTGCCGCCGATCACTAGTCTATCGAAATCTAGTCCACCGGATTGCTAATAGGATGTACGCACGGAAGGAGCACGCACGCACCGCGCGAATTCGTCTTTAATGTCCGTAATATGGCCGGTCTTCCTCGTACGTCTCGCGAACACTCGCGACCGACCGAAAGACCACGACTCTGACCACGATACCACACCACGTTATGTTAGCGCCCGTACGCTGCTACACACACGCGCGCACACGCATTCTCTCTCTTTCGCTCTTTCTCTCTCGCTTTCTCTCTCTCTCTCTCTTTCTTACACTCGCCGGCACTCTGTCACTCTCTCTTCTTAGTTTGCTCCGTCTCTTTCTCTTGAATCGTACTGAACGATACGCACAAATATTTTCTCTCCTCCTTGTTTACCCACAACCCGAAACGTGGGTGCCCACCACGTGATACGAGTCTCTTGGTGTGCGCGACCTGGCGCCCCGTTCAAATGTCGCGAACAAGGCCCTCCTGAGGTTCATCGGCCCATCACAAAGATTTCTCCACGAATCAAATCTCGACGACGCCCTCGAACAGTTCACTTTACGAGACACGCTTCTTTCCCGAATAAAGACGCCGAGACGCGACGAAAACGCGTACCGCACCGCCACACCGCAGCATTTCTCGATTCGGTCTGTCTTCTGCTTCGAGACGCGATGGCCGAAAGAACCCGGAAGTCATGACGGGGCCATATTTCCTGGGGAACATTGAGCGCGCCACATTTAAATGGATAATTAAGTTGGTTACTGGAAAGCTCAGAACTCAGGATAATAAATCAAGAGTAGAGAACTGAAGGTTTTATTATCGATTTATAGAATTCTAAAGTCTATTTAAAGAAACAATACATGTATAATAAATCGATGTATAGAGTCACAAACGGAAGCTACGAGTACTGCGAACGCCCATAAGACGAACCAATATGGCGTCTAATACAACAATTCTGTTACGCAACTACGACGTGGATTATTAAGACTCTCGTGCGAGACACTATTTTCTTATTGGATAGAATAAAGCGTACCATTTATTGAGCATTATCATATATTTATTGGCATTACCATATATGCCAACTGAACAGACGTACAATTTCTTTCTATTTTTTATATTGTGAAATATGCAGACCGGAATTTACCAGTCACCATATGCTATGACTTCATTTCAAGATGGCGTTCGATTTCAAAACATTACAAATAGCACATTACCAAGACGTTACATAACTACATCACTAGTCAAACTAGTTTTTGATTTGTAAAATATGAATTTGCTGAGTTTGAAGCTTTCTCGTATTACGGGCGGCGATATATATTTATGTATCTGAACATTTAACTTCTGTTGTTATACTGAAGAAATTTTCCACGCGATAAGAATAAAACTCACTTAGGTTTTCAAATCAACAATGTCACTGACTAGGTTAGTGTACGTTATTATACAAGTGTACCACATTAACGCACGCCTTTGATAAAGCGGTTCGAATGTAAGTAAAGTGCAAACATCTTTTAATTTTTTTTTCATTGGTACATTAACAAAAGTAAGTGTGCACAAAAACAACAAACTCCTATAAGAGTTAGGCGCATATGTTTTAGTTGTAATATACTGAAACATTTTTTTATATCTGACTTCGTTTTCGTATATTTGTTTAGTAGTGAAATCTAGTGACTGTCTCTTAATGTAGTACTCATGTATGTGTCAGCACGCACGTTAGATGACAGTTCGAAGAAAAGGATTTAAAAAAGTATGAATTATACCTTGACGACATATGTGTCAGCACGCACGTTAGATGACAGTTCGAAGAAAAGGATTTAAAAAGGTATGAATTATACCTTAACGACACTTTATTTATTACGTTGTTCTTTAAGTTTATTCCATAGGTATTATTACTGATTGATCCGTCAAAAAGGACTAATAAGCTTTCTGTGGTTGCAGCAAGTTTGAGACAGAAGGTCCTCTGAGCCCTGAGCTGCATAATAGATATAGACACACTGATTGCTTGAATGCCAGTGGATATTCTTTTTCTAATGAACGGGCTTTAATCCGTATGTCACATTAATGTATAGTTTTAATAGATGACGTTTTTCAATGGATCGGAATACGTAGATGATTCAGTTGTGTTCTTTACTCTATATTTTTTGGTAAAGAAATCGCTATAAACATAGCATTTTCAGGGTACTAAGGATTCTGAAAACATGTAAAGATGATATCGGAAAATCTTATATTTTTCAATACGTGTGAGGTTTTGGAAACAGCGCGAGATAATGCAATAGTTAGTTAAACCGTTTCCGAAGAGCAATGACGCTCCTTTAATCGTCTAGCTGGCAGAGGCACGCGACGCCCCGATTGATCCAATGTGATTCATCCACCTTCGTAGGGAACAACACATACATAACGAAATTGGAAGAGTGACCAGTAGTAGCTAGGACACCACGCCTTGCACTGGTTTTATAAACTGGACAATGGTAAACATTAGAAATCTGAAAAGTAGCCTTCACACCGGGTTTCAACCAAATGATAGGAACGCTACTGAACATTTTTTTAGGTTTCGATTCATCCAATTCTTCAATGTCTCTATTCCAATGCGCGCCTTGTAAAAAGAGACCCTGCAAAAAAAGGAGAAAATATCAAATCTGACATGAAGACAATGATACAATTAATATTCAAGTATTAATTGTCATACAAACGTGTAGGCGCCAAACATTGGTGGTTTGTCCGTTGTGTTTTCAAATTTGGTAATTTCAAATTGAAAGTCTAGGTGGTCGATAGGTATTTGGCACCTGCGAGCGTAATTTTGCATCACTCCAGTGAGAAAGGATTGTGTAAAGTAGAAACCGGACAGCCAGAAAACTGTGGGCGCGTCATGATCTATCCAATTCTGTAGAAATTCAATTCTAGCCAGCAGATCCGTCACATAACTTCCCAATGGCTTCAACGAGGGATACGATTTTTTATTCCACTCTGAAGGTATTCTGCCAATGCTCATACTGTAGAAAACGTCCTCCAGCGATGGTGACATTACTACCAGTCCTTTGATAGCTTTTTGCACGTTCTTTAATGTGCTCTTTATCACTTCAGTCAGTCTGTTAAATCTGACCAGCTCCTGACGGAGTACGGTGTTCATACTATTCACGTAGAGAACTGGAAATCTCTCGGAAACGTATCGAATGTCGAACTGAGGCGGCATCTTGTCGAGGATATCTGCAGCCAGCTGCGAGACCGTCACCTCGGCATCGCCTTCTACTCCCAGACCACTTATTTGCGTTTGAGTCTTCAGAACTCCTGCCAACAATTGCATCGCCTCATCATTGTCTTTAGTGATGTCCGCATTCTCGTGCAAGCCGTAGACTTCCGGTAGCTGATTTAATGGGAGACTTCTGATGTACTCTACGCATCCGTGGTGATCAGTATTCACTGGCATCCGGTAAATTCCACTTGGCGAGAATGAATATCTGTAATTTCAATTAAAGTCAGCCATTACAAGCGGATTACACTCATCGACTTTCGGTCCCCAAAGTTGTTCACACTTACTGAGGGTCAGCGATGACGTTCGGATTGTAGTAATTCCGAAGAAGGGAATTTAAAAGACGTCTGTCCTTATCGTCGGTGACTCTACCACCATAATTGCATTCTCCAGTCAGATAGAGAAGAGCCTCGTAGGGCACTTCGTCGTAATCATTCAGGAACATCTAAAAGAAGATTAGTCAGCAGGTTTGAAAAACACACTGCTGCGATTCTTGCATTGGTTTTTACCTGCAATTGCAAAACGCTTATTCGCAAATCTGATTCGTTGAACTCGTAAGGGATGTTCCAGCCGAGTGGACCGAATTTTCGTCTCTCCTGAACGACAGCATGGAAGAAACACAGAGAGAAGAGAAGGGCCCGCCATTCTAGAACCTTGTAACATCCCTTGAAAAATGTCGGATTAGATATAGGATCATTCAGATAGCTGCGCAATAAATTTTGCTTCAGTCCTTTTGGTGCCTCGTTAGTCATTTTAACGCCATTTTGTAAGATTGAAACTGGAAAGGCTTTCGAGGGATAGCTGGTCAACCATATTCGAAATTTCGAGTGAGTCGTTTCCGGGATAATGACCTCATCGCATATCCTGTCCAATTCCCTCATCCAACTCTCGGCCAAGTGACAGTTTTGCAGGACGACCCATTCTCCGGTTGCTATCCCTTTATTTATCATATTTGTGGCAATAGGGCCTTGACCCTGACCCAAAGAAATAGTCATCAGGTTCTTCTTTTGAATTCCCTTGTCTTCCGCAAATTTAATTAAGCCGGCCATCGGATCCGATCCCGGCGACAGAATAAATATCAAAGGCGAGACATTACTAGAGTCGTTGTAGGAATCTTGAAGATCAAATGGCGGCGGTTCGATGAAGGATTCCCCCATGTTATGGATGACGAAACGCTGAACAGCGGCTACAAGCTTGTCCGGCCTGACGCATCTCAGTATCAGCAGCTTCTTCAAGCTATTTTCTTCGGCCTGGAAGGGTGCCGGAAATGAATTCTCATGAGGATTCGGAAGATCATAGTAGCTTTTCCACTGAGCAGTTTCAGTCTCGACGGACTTTCGTAAGTCGGCAAGACCTGAGAGGGCTGTAGCCCTTACAATTTCTGACCAGGACTTGTCACTCAGCCAGCTAGGATCAGGATTTTTATGAGGATTGCAGGATTCGGAAGATCATAGTAGCTTTTCCACTGAGCAGTTTCAGTCTCGAAGGACTTTCGTAAGTCGGCAAGACCTGAGAGGGCTGTAGCCCTTACAATTTCTGACCAGGACTTGTCACTCAGCCAGCTAGGATCAGGGTTTTTATGAGGATTGTGGAGAGCGACGCCCCCCGTTAGCAAGAACGTCCAGAGATCTTCTTCAATTTGTTTTTTGGCACGTAGGAGACCAACGCAGAGGACCAAAGAGAATATCAGCTTGTCCTTTTCGAATAGTGATCTGCAGACGTTTCTGTATATGCTGGCGGTGAAATGAGAATTAAGCTTCTTGATTCTCTCATTAAGGTTTGCGGATTTTTCACTTTGACTTATGGTCATCGTGTACAGGTGAATGAACCACGGCAACGAGTACTGATACATCGGATCGATATTTGCCAACTCCGAAATGCAAAAAAATAAGACAGCGCCGTGACGCGATACGGGTTCGTAGCCGTTGCGTGCTTCGTCAATTTCTATCGTCGTCCTTGCTGCAATTTTCTGTTTAGCTTGAATATCTTCGGAGAGGCCCTTCGAAGAGGATAGAATCTTGATGGCCGTTTCATCCTCCAGGATGTTCCCTTCTGACGTTGACAGTACCTCCAGAATCTTGTCCTCAATTTCTTTTAGAATTCTTTTGTTATTCGCGCCCTCTACAATCAATTGATTCTTCTTTTCCTCGAGCGCCGGGAGATCCTTGGCTACCACGATCCCCAACAATTGATCTTCCAATCCTTGCGGCGTGATCATGAAGTTCAACAGTGTCACCTTGACCGCGACCTCAGGAAGGTAATGGGGATTGCGAAGTCTCGTTGTGATATAAAATCGAAAATCAATGTTGTATTCGAGAACGTTCTCACCAAACTTCATATAAAGAACTCCACGTTGCTTGTAAATGTTCTTCAGCAGAACTGGCTCCAGGATGGCGTCGACCTCTTCAAGAATATTTTCTAGCAGAACAGGATTACCGACCTGAATGGACGTTTCCATGACTCTGACGTAATTCGGATCAGTCAATTTGATGACGGAGAGTTTATTCTGCTTCTCCATATTTTTGATCCATTTGTTAGCCTGGCCCTGAGGATCAATCATGAGCGGCCACCGATTGGCGTTCCTCACTATTATGCCGTTCTCTACGGAAAATGTGTCAGCAGGCAATCCGTAGATCATCCAAGCGCGAATCTCCACAGGCTCGCCCAAAATATCAATGAGACTGAACTGCGATCCACATGGAATATTGATTTGCGTGCAAGACGCGTGCCACTGCCGAATCAAATCGTTTCTGTATCCAACAGTGAAGGCCCCGAGATAAGCTACAACACCAGAAGCGAGAAGAACATTCCCAATGATATTTTTAAGGCTGGCTCCCAAAGCAGCTGCAGTTTGACTCCATCTAATCTTCTCACCGCCCAGTCCGCCGAGAAGTTTCTCGGCTCTATCCAACTTTTGCGTGCAGTGATCTATCTGGTCCTCCAGCTTTTTCTTCTCTCTCATGCATTCTGCAAACTCGTCGTTAAGCGACTGAAGCTTGTCGGTGACCTCCTGCAGAAGTGCCCTCTTGGCGTTCAGTGTTTCCATTTGGGCGGCCAGTTCGCCTTCGGCTTCGGCCAGCATGGCCTTCTTCGGCGCCACGACCTTAATCACTCTGTCGTAGACTTCCATGGCGCGCACCCACCTGCACAGTCCTTCGCAGGCCGTGGAAACCTTCTTGATCACGTCGGGATCGAAGCTTCTGTCATTCATGAATTTCTCTCTGATCTTCTTCATGTTAGCTGGAGGAATGTTGTCCTTGTCGAATGTCTTTAGACCCTCCAGGAACTTCATGTCCCCGAGAATCTTTATAGAGGCTGGCCAGTAGTCGTCGGGATCGAAGCTTCTGTCATTCATGAATTTCTCTCTGATCTTCTTCATATTAGCTGGAGGAATGTTGTCCTTGTCGAATGTCTTTAGACCCTCCAGGAACTTCATGTCCCCGAGAATCTTTATAGAGGCTGGCCAGTAGTCATCATAGTTGTTGCCTGTTCCAGGATCCTGAACGCGCTCTGGTTTGATTCCCTTGAGAACGCAGACGGCCTCCATCACGAGTCTTACACCGGCCGGCGGATTCTTCATGGATTTAACGATGGTGATGTCAGCTGGCTTTAAGGTGTCCAATGCCGACAAAGCAGCTTCCAATGCAGGCGTTGCCTCTGCCAAGTCGCTTTCACAGTCGTCCTTTATCGCCTGCGCCGCAGCTGCAGCCTCGTTCGCTAGAGCTTCGTCGGCTGCAACCACCTCCTTCTTGGCCTCCACATTTACGGTGTCTTGTTCAATTCGGATCATCAGTTTGTCGCTGAGCTGTGACTGTGCGACTAGCTTGGGCTGCAGCGCGTGTAGCTCCTCCTGCATCACTGCCACTTGACCAGCTGCAAAGTCCAGTTTCTCAAGTCCGACTTCGTATCGATTCTGCTGCATGGTGATTTGATCGACCTTTTGCCCGTATAGCTTGTACAGGCTCTTCATCAGTTCCAGAAAGCTGGTCGGAGTTACGTAATTTCGTCTTCGCTGCGTTTTGTAATAATCCTCGCTAGTGTCGCGCACGCTTGTGTGAAACTGCTTGCATATGTGCACACACTTTTCCCGAGTGTCCTCGTCAATGTCCAGGTCCTTCAGGGACATTTTTGCGACTTTCTCCAGAGCGTCCTCAGGCCAGGTCGTGTACCAGTCGATGGTACAGCAATTGATGAGCGAGGGAAACATTCTCAATCTATTTCTGAAAGCCTCACCAATGGGCGACATAGTCAGAATTATGTGCAGATTGTTCTTCACTCTTTCTGTAAACAGATTATAAAGTGCCATAGGCGTAGTTTCCATCTTCCTACCGCCGCCCTCTCGCGCTGCGTTCATCATCTTCTCTAGAATATCAGCTTTCTCCTCGGAGGCATAAAGATTGGGCACGTCCCCGGTGTTCAGTATCATATTTATATCCTCCACAAATGTTTCTTCCTTGATCTGATTGTCACCGAAAAGAAAAACTGTGGGTCTTCCCTCGCCGCCAGCTTTTAGAAGAAGCGCCTTGATATCGTCCCTCCATTCAGAGTGTCCGTAGGTCCTCGTCATTTCCACCTGGTATATTATATACTCGCACATGCTGGTCGCCAGCTTAGCACAGGAACTTCTTCCTGAGCCACCAACCCCGACGAGGAGTGCATGTCCATTGTCTTGCAAGAGAACGCGAGATACCCTTGATATGTGTTCTATGGCAAATCTGAATAGTACCAGATTCATGGGCGTCCTTGATATCATGTTGTATTCTGTCAGATAATAGTCCATCTTCTCTTGAAGGTCATCCAGGTTCGCTACCTCATCGTATATCTTCGGATCCGCATCTGGCTCCATGTAGTTGCCAAAGAACAATTTGCGAATGTGCCCAGGTGTTATTTGTTTCTCGTTTTCCTCCAGAAGATTCGACAGAACCTTCTCGATTGGCTGGCGCAGCTGCGCGTAACACGTGACCTTCACCATTTCGAAAAGAGTCACTCTGTCTTGCTCGTCAATCAGACGGTCGTGAAAGACTCGATAGATTTCATGAATCCAGAGCTTTATCAGTTTCTCGGGCTCCTTGATACGCGATGCTGGTACCAGTAACAGGCCCCTGATCACTCTACTGAAGTCGCGCAAATTAAAGGTGTAATGACTCTTCGCCGGAGTGGGCAAGAAGTTTCTAATGGCGTCGTGAAAGACGTCCATCGTCGCCGAGATGATCATCTTTCCAAGTCTGGAAACGTTCTGATCGAAACCTTTAGCAAAATGCCAGTCCAATATGGTGGTGAATATCTTTGTCATGGTGGCGTCCTCGAAAGAGTCAATTCCTATGATGTGCATGTGACGAGTAAGTCTTGGTGTGACCAAGTTCGATCCGCCTCCTGGGGGTATCATTGCTGCTATTAGAACTATATCCACCAGGTATAACATGCTGGTATCCTTTGGATCGAACCAATGGCCATGATCCACCCATTGTCTCAGGAGTTCTATTGGAGGTTGGGCACCGTAAATTTCCTTGTGGGGCAGACTCAGGTCATCCACGAATAGAACGCACCTCTTCCCCATAGCTGGCCCGTATACGCCCTTTCTTCTTCTGTCCAACTTCGACATTACTATTTCCTGCGTCTGCGATGCTGTGGTCTGAGCACTGAAGTTTACTATGTTCTGAATGAACTTATCTTTTGATAGCGTGACCATGTAATCCGTGACAATGGCGGACTTTCCGGTTCCAGTTGGACCCACAAACAGAATCGGTATGGAGCGTTGCAGTAGACTATTTATGAAGAATCGCTGCATGGACATTTCATTCGTCTGAATTATCAGCTCGCTGACTTTTGCATTTGGAGCTAATGGTGCCTGGAAGAAATTAAAAAATGTCCCATCATAATGAGATTCAAAATGTGCCCTTGTGTGTTAATAGTACTCTACTATCACTACCTACCTGGCTGGTGGTGTCCATCCACGATATCCAGCTGCCATTGTTTCTCTTGTCATAAACCCATTCGAAGACAGTGGCTCTGTCAGGAAAGAGTTGTTGCTTCGTTAACTTGAAAGCTTTTGGCTTTGGATGCTCCTCGACATTCCCATCGAGTAATTTTCGGAAATAGACGTCGAACAGCTTCCTACTTTCACTGACCAGAGTCGAACAAAGTCCCCATATCATGCTGAATATGAGAACACACTGGAGCCAGACCGTGCTCACTTGAGACTCGCCCTCCAGGATGGTACTCAGCATTCTCGTGAAAGACTGCTCAAAGGAATGTCATTTGTATTATTTGACATTCAGTCCAGTACTAACGTTATGGAACTCAAATACTTACCAGGAACATATGTAGCTCAGATGTCTCTACGAAAGTCTTACAGTTGCACCTGACGAAAGTGAAAATCGGCTCCGTTAGCCATTCCACTAATTCCAAAACGAGTTCAAACTGTTCAACGAGCAGCTTCTGCTTGAGTTGCTTCTTGTACGACTCGAAGAACGGAGGCCAGCCTAATTGCGAAGGTTCCATGTAGATCATTCCGCACCTGCTGACAGTAGCCGGGGACGCGTGCTCGAGATCTGCTGGCTCGAATATCATGTTCATCTTGTGCGACATTTGAATGATTTCGCCAGACATCAGGCAGAGTTTCTTGTTGTCGTCTAAGACGGTGTTCATGTTCTCTATCCAGACAGCATCCACCGGACCGTCAAAGAGAATCCACTTTCGTTCTGACGTCAACGATTGGGCGAATTCTCGGAAAGTATTGGCCAGCACCCCGTCGCTCCACTCGTGAGAAACCGGATCGAAACTCCCGTACAATTGGCCCAGGGTGATGGCCTTTGGATTTATAATTTTATGGATTGTTCTGAACTCCCGCATAGTGGCTCTTCTTATTGTCGAGAGATCGCCAAGAGAATCAGCCAATGATTGATAGGCTTGAGTCTTTCCACCTAAAGGCTCTCCGACGATCATCAAGCCATGTCTGACCAGGATCATTTCGTAGATCTGCACGATCTTCTCAACGTACCAGGGTGTGGCCTGTAGATTCCTCTTATTCAGATTGACTTTCAGCAAGTCAATCAATTCGTCGCGATCAGGCTTTGGAAGATCAATGCCAGGGAACAAGTCGCTGTAGATGCCGTTGAACAGTGGAACATCCTGCGCTAAGAATTTTGGCAAATTGACGTCAACTATGGCGCGTAGGACCAGGATCGACTCGTTCTGCGTGGGATACTTCAGCTTCAGATTTCCTGCAGCCAACAGTACAGTTTTGACGGCTCGCATTCCGTAATCGTAGTGGCTCTGAGAACTTAGCTGCTCGGAGCACAGTTTATAGGTGTGAACAATCTTCTCAGCCAGACTCCTCGCGTCAACAAATCCATAGGAGTACAGAGTAATCTCACCGATCATTCCATAGTCCGGCACCATCATTGCCACGGTGCGAAAGAGAACTTTCAGGTTATCAGGAAGTTCCTGTCTTCCTGCGTAACCAGGATTCATGGTGATGAAGATATTGCAAGTGGGGTTCAGCTTGAGCTCGGTGCCTTCAAAGACGAATCGTTCGAGACGCATGCTGATCGCCATCTGAATCGTTAGAATCTGCTGAGCGATCACAGAGAGAACCTCCAAGTCAATCCTGTTGAATTCATCGAAGCAAGACCATGCGCCAGACTGCGCCAGACCTTTGAAGAACTTTCCCATAGCTTTATAGTCCAGTCCCTCGGAACAGTTGAAGACTACGCACTGCTTCGCCACGGCCTTCGCCAGGTCCTTGCTTGTTTCGGTCTTCCCAGTACCTGCCGGACCCTCGGGAGCACCACCCAGGTTTAGCTTCAGCGCCCCCATTAGAGTTCTGTAGCATCGATCGGTCAGAGGTGTTATCACCAGTCGCGGAGTGTTTCCAAGATACTCAAATGCGTAGGCAACGTCCGTAGTGATCATTGACACGATTATACTGGCATCCAGCCAGTAATATCGCAATTGGGATATCCAGTCAAAGTCCATAACGCTGCTCACGTCTTTCTCTACCAACAACTTCACAACGTCTCGCGCGTGAACGTCGATCACTATCAACGCATTGAGAGTGATGCGTGCTCCAGGCTCCAGTTTCCCACGTACCAAATCTACGGTTTTCTCGATTTGCGAGCTACACTTTGAGAGATACTTACTGGTGCTATTGTCTTCGAACGATTCACAAACCTCGCTGGTCCAGTGAATTTGACTGGCACATATGACTATTTGGCCAGGCCATGTAAGCATCCATTCTGATCGTGTTGTGTTGAAGTAAGCAATTACGCTGTCCTGAGCAATATCGCGAAGGGAGGAGACCATCAGCTCCTCGACCTGCACTAGCCATCTTTCCACCATGCCCTTTGCGTCGGCTGGATAGATCTTACCGCTCATTGGAACGTACTCGTCCTCGTCGGACAACATTCCCACGATTTCCTGTTCCTTGTTGAATCGCAGCTTGCTTATGCCTTCGAAACATTTCTTGAGATGCGGTTGAACTCTCTGCGGATCTTTCGTTTCCGAGAGAATCTCAAGCAGCTCGTCGTTAGACAAAAAGAAAAATCTCGGGAAGAACAGACGTTTCTTCTCCAAGTAATCATTGAGGCCTTTCTGTATCTCGTCCAGCAATACGTTGCAGAGTTTGAACTGTTGAAGCATCTCCGGCATCGCTGTTGCGTCCGTAACTTTTTTATTGTTTGCCACATATTTCATTATGGCCCGCCACATTTTGTCGACCTTGCGAAAGTTCTTCGCCTCGGTTGGCATTTGCCTCATTATATCCTCGCTGCTGAATATTGGTTCCAGATACATCCAAGTGGCTTGACACGTCAGCCACTGATCAATAATGTCCTGCATCATTATCAACTTCTCCTCCCACGACTGCATTTCGTATTCAAAGGCTTTCACGAAAGGGGAGCCTCTCATCGTTTGAGCCTTCAGTATATGATCGTCCAGGAGGACCTGTATGTCATCAACTGCAGATAAAATATGTACCCCAGTCTCACGGTATGGATTCAAATCGAAGTAAACGTTCTGCCATTCATCCTGCATCTTTCTAAGATTTTTCTCAAGAGCATGCTCCTTGGTGGCGGCCGACGAGATCTCTTCTAGTTTATTGATGTAGACCGGCAAACCGTGATCTATCATGTCCGAGAGACTGCTCTGTGCTGTAGGTTCTATAGGAACTCCCACGACCTTGCTAATTTGCTCCCAGTGTCGCGGTTGCAAGCCCGGATTACAAATAGTTTGTAAAACCGGTATAAACTGTTTGAACTTCTCGACTTTCCCACGAACCGTCTCGGCGATCCTCCGGGCACCCGGAACATCGGACAAAACTCTTGAGAGCTTGTAGAGCATCCTCCAGATGTTATCAGTCTCTTCGCGGATCTCATCAGCGTCCAAGCCCTGAAAGGGTCCGTAGAACCATTTCTCATAGTTCTTGTGGAAGCTTAGGACGGCATGCCAGAGCTTATCAAATGTGTCCACAGTACTGGTCATCACGGGCAGAGTGAGATAAGGACTCAGCTCCATATCTAGAAGTGTCTCCTCTTCATTAATCTGTTCGGCCTCTTTCCGGATTTCTGCCATTCCTTGGGAAAGATGTTCGATTTCTTCCGTCGCCTGCTCCATCTCATCCATCGTCAGAACAGGCGGATCTTTCTTCTTGAAATGATCTATGGCCAGTTGCATGTTTAAAATTCTTTGTTCAAAATTGTCGCGTCTCGTTCGCAGGACACTCTCGACGAAATCCTTTCTCATGTTCAACCGGGCGTTCGCCAGGTCCATCACCACCTCCATTTCCTTAGGCCACGTGAGTGTCCTTGTGTTCAGATGGATGTCGTCGCACGTTGGCGCTTGATAATCAAGCAGGAACAACATCAGCTCGACCGAATGCGCTAGTTTGCTTTTAAGGCTGAACATCGTCGAATCGCGACTCTCGCAGAGATAATTGTAGAGGTCGACCACTTCCTGAGTCGTCTCGGGCATCTCCGAAATCCTATTGGCTATCTCGTCGAAGACGTTGCACAGAGCCTGATTATTTTGCCGAAGCTCCATGTAGAAATACTCGCAGATCCTGGTGCGCAGATCAAGTAACATCTGCCTGATTGTGTCGTTCACCATCGTGCAGTCTATTTCTATCATGTTCAAAGGTACCTACGGTGAATAGCATTCTGACATTGAACGGGTTCTCTATTGTCTGTATCCTTCAATAAGAAACTTAGGGAATCACCTTGTTGCGATACAAGCATATCTCTTTCCGCAGACCATCATACTCCTCGATCCTGCGTCCAAAATCCCTGAGAAACGGTTGGGGTTGGATCGAGAAGTAATCCGTGAGCTCATTCTCCGCTTTACCCTCTATTATGTATAATAGATCCTCATAGCATTTTAAATAATTCTCTGGTCCACTGACATTCGACAGAATTGCATCCAAAGCTTCATTTACGATTTGTGCAACCTAAGTGAACACACGCGATGCTCTTATGTAGCCAAAGAGTCATTATACTTGTTTAACACGTACCGCTTCTTCCTCTCTTAAAACTGGAAACATGTAAGCTTTCTTCTGTAATTCCGGGAACAAGATTGTCTCGATTCGTGGAACTTTGCCAGCCACCTTGATTATCTTGTCAAAGCATCTCGATATGACAGCGTGCATCTCTCTCACGCTCGGCTTCAACTGTAATTCTCTTGTACCCAATACAGGCTCAACCATTATTGTCATGAAAGGAACCCTTAAAGAGATAAAGTGGTGAAATGGTCTGTAAAATGTATGAGACGCAAATTCCTTACCTGATGAACATAAGATCCTCGTAATCTCCATCGAAAGAATTACCATCGCTGTACCGCACGAAAAAGTCCCTCATGTACTTCAAAGTTTGTATAATCTTGATGCGCAACTGTCTCGACAGGAGGGTGTTGACGCATCGAAAATAATCTTCTATGAGTACAGTGGAAGCGCCTGCTGCTCTTTCTACCAGAGAGGACCAGGCGCGTTTCTTCTCCAAGAAGATTTCGGCGACTTCCGCGAGCCACTCCTTCAAGAGACGCTCGCTGGCAGTGTCGCACAGTGTATCCACCCTGGTTTCGATCTCGGCGGCGGCCACTGGTATTTTCCCGAAATCCTCTACACAGATTATGGACATGTCGCAATATCTAAAAACATTTCAGAGAGTCTGTCAAAATTTTCTCTTGACTGCGCAAAAACAAGTTTGCATTCCTAGTACTCACTTGGTGAACCAGAGATCGCGAATGTCCCGCAGAATCTCATTGGCAATGGCCAGGTTGTATTCCAAAAAGTGTTTCGCTGTGATCTTTGCCTGGTGCCAAGGTACTGGTGCCCTGATGCTCGAGGTCAGATACTGCGGGGGCATCGTTTCAATGAACAGTCGCTTCCTCTCGGCAGGATCGAGCAACACGTAGTCCACGACAGCAGAACGGAGACTTTCCTTGTAGTCACTGACAACTTCGGGCACCAGGCTATTCAATATGGCGTCCATGCTGGAAGCACACTGTCGCTAGAGTTACGATTATTCCTCGGGGATTGCAGGAATATTTATATACTTACTCATCGCGTCTCCTCAGTCTGCCAATAATGCGTTCGCGCGCTTTCACGATGTTCCGATAATCATACGGCTCTAGCTGGGACTCTGCTACGCAATAACGTTTCAGGTACAGAATTCTAGAGACGTCTTCCGGTCTTACGTGACGTTTCCGCTCCCGTTCAACCAGAGCGAGCATCTCCGCCCGCTGTTCCTCGATTGATCTGGGGCAGTCGGCTTCCCTGCTGCGTAGAATCTGTGAAACGTAAATGGATGCAGCGATCTCTCGATTAAAAGGCCCGGACGTGCGTAGCAGAGAAACAGAGAAACTCGTGTATACCTCCTCCTCAGGAATCATCTTCCTCCGTCTCTCTTTCCTCTTCTTTTCAGCCCTCTCTTTTTGTTCCTGCATTTCGGCTGATCGTTTCTGTGCCTTTCTGCGCAGCCAGGTACCATCAGCCAAGTCTCGCAAACTCATAATATTATCAGGCACTCGCTGAAGCCGCTTTGACCTCTCGCCATCCTTAAGTTTCATTTCCTCATCGTGCGCCTTGACACATTCCAGAGGTGGATAGACGAGATTTCCGTCGGGACCAAAGAGAATTGGTTGACTTAATTTCACCGTGCTTCGCTTAAAACTCTTTATGTTGTACTTGCGGGCCGCTGGTGTCAATTCGCTGCCGATACTTTGCATAGGTTTAACATATTCGTACCAGTACTTGTACGGTATCGCTTTCGTCCATGATTGTTCCTGAAGTAACTTCGGCTGTTCTCCGTAAAAGAGTGCCTTTGCAACTTCTTCCGGTATACCATTAAAAGTTTCTCTAGCCATATTTGATCGTAGCGACGAGTCATTTTGGTTACACGTCCTTTCGGACAATTCACTCTCGAACATTTTACTTGATTTTGTATTTCACGCCGAAAGTTATTACTTACTTATTACGTGAAGAAATAAAGACAGTAAATCCTTTTTAGCTTTTTGAGTAAATTTGTTCTTCCAACATGACAGTCACATAACGGTTAGAGACCAGATAACTATCAAGCAGCTGGCAGGTGATGGCCGTTAGCAATGAGTGTCAACAGTTGATATCCCATGGCAACGATTGTGAAGTATGATGCATCCATTACTGGTAGTGACTTAAAATTTACACCTAAGCTAGAATATAAATCATATTAATTTAAACAATAAAAAGTGAAACAATACAATTTGGAAGAAAATAGTTTATTCGTTCCATCTGTGATAGTAAAAGTAAATACACATCTCATAATAAATAGTTCCTTAAAAAATGTTATCACGCGACGTAACACTTTTGGCACAAATATAATTGACATAGAAATACTTTCGTTATTCATTGCAAGTTACTCGCGTAGATTTGTCAAAAATAAAATTATCTATAAAATCCATTAGGATTTTTATGTTTCCTTAGACACTCCCCAAAGTTATATGCATTCCACCTTTTACGTGCACAAGTGCTCGCATAAAACTTTTGAGTTCGTTCGTGAACATTTTGATTATTCGTCAATCGATTATCTTTTGCATTTATCAATAATAATTGGTTTAAGTATTCGCTATCTAGACACATTTTTTCTATTTCTTTTTGATTGATCAGTTATCAGTATAAAAAGTCGTATCGCATCGAAGACTTGCCGTCGCTAGTCGACGGTTCTAAATGACTAGTTTTTCGTTGTTCAATCCTCGAATTGGATGGAGTACCTTGTAACCCAGGGTCCGACAGGGTGCTGGTCTTCCGTAGTTTCTCCAGTTCAATATCGCATTTCGTGAAATTGGTCGGACAAGCGAATCTCGGGAGATGATCGGTGGGTGTCTCATTAGTAGAAATAACACTGGGTCTTGAAGTGCGGGAGAAAAGTTGGCTGGTACGTCTGCTTTTGGGGGGTGATTGCAAAACGAAGGGTACTTCCTCTTCATTTGATGGCACACTATCGTGCAGTGACGTCGATGAATTGTTGAACAACCAATCTATAAGCGAGTAAAGTAACTATAATCTGTAAACATCAAAGATGTTTCTTTGACTCACGTTCATCTGCCACTTTGGTAAAACTCTTTAGCAGAAATTCCTTATCGTGAGATTCTAGAACCAGCATCTCACGCAATATCCGCACCATCTTCTTTGTAGCTTCCGCCTTGGCATGCAGATAGTATACAGCAACACTGCCACAGAGAAACAGTGGTAAGATATTACAGTGCCATGTCTTCTTCTATCCTTTCTCAAGAAAACACCTGCTTACCACATTCCGATAAGTATAGCTCCACCCACAGCAGGTCTCGCGAGTTCAATAACGATCATCCAGAAGGTGCTGTCTCGTTTCAATTGCAGAATACCCTCGACCATGACCTCCCAAGTATAGGTATATCCACGAAACGGCCCGCAGTCGCTAATAGGAACGTACATAATAACGTACCCAAGAGTGACAAGAACGCCGACCATTCCTAAGAAAGCTAGTGCCAGGAAGAGGGTGTGGGTTTGGGCTGCCCTCCAAGATCTGGAGGGTGGTTCACAATGGTTGAGAACGCCGTGTTTTTTTATGTAAAACGTCATAATCATCTTGATGACAATGACGAAGGACATCGGAGGACTAAAGTAGAATGCCACCAAGAACAACGTCTGATTGTAAATCAGATTAAGGGTATTCTGTGCTATATGAAAACGCGGCGCTTTGACGTTTTTGCAGAACAGAACGTACAAGTGGGACCGTATCATTTGAGCTAAAAAAGTTCCCACGATGGAAGCGATAAAGTCCATCAAAATCAAACGGTAGAGTTCTTGTGCTAATACCGTTTGCCAACATCCGGTTGTACTTCCAGTTAGCCAGAAAAAAAGGAGAGTACCCACTACTACCACAGCCATTGCAGAATTGCGAATCATCTTGACGTAAAGAGCAACACGCTTGCTATTGTATCCCTCGTATCTGACCTTAAATGCATGCATATAGTTATTATTCGCAAGAAAATATCGTAAGGCATTTCAGCTTACCAGCCATGATACAAAGGTAGGATAAAGATTCATGATGGCAGTGATTACTAGTGGCACTATCAACAGCGACAAAGCATTGCTATTATCAGTCTCATATCTGCTGAGCAATATCCACAGTAGTACTCCCGTGCCAACCATTATGGCCAGCACCAACAGAGTCATGGATGTTTGAACAAACAGTGCATAGTATTTTGTGGCACAGTTCGGATAAGATTGTTTCTCTGCATCGGCTAGAAATTCTTTCAGTTCCCCGTAAATCGAAGCTGACTTAAGACTTGCTGCTTTCATCGAGGCTATACCGAAATCCCAGCCACAGAATATTTTACTCGCATAAAGATTGTATACACCGCCTGCTGTCTCGATGTAACACTTTCGATATGAATGCGCAACCCTGAAAATTGAACGTTATTCTTAAATCATCCAAATTCTTAAAATCCAAATTATTAAAAATCTCATGCGTTGTACGTACTTTACCGAAAGGAGTATGAAAACGAATATGTAACAGCACAGTAACGTAAAGAAATATGCCGACGGTATGCTGTACGTACTGTTAAGTAATTTTGATACTGTGCCATTGGTATAAAACCCATAATACATTATTGTATTTGTAAGGAACCCCTGAAATACAATACTTTATTTTATCGAGTTTAAATTATGTTAATAGAATTGTTCAACGGCATACGTACACCTCCTGTTAGAAGATCGAAACCACTAAATTCGGTAACGGTGTATACATCATTTAAAGATTGAGGAAGCACAATAAACGAAAAACTAAAAGATAAGCGATAAATTGAACAGAATGGAAATTATATGCAACTCAATTTTATAAAATTTTAATAACTACCTAAGAATGCAACATAGCATGTTCAAAAGAAAAAGCCAACGTAAAAATTTGAAATATGCAGCAACACCACTTCCGAATTGACCTTCGATGGACTTAATTGCATGATACCAGAGTTCTATCGTGGAAGCTACTTCACGCATTGCCATACTGATCTAAAAATATATTATTCGTAGATATACAATTATGAATGATTTGCTCGTGATACTTATTACATTTTCATACCTTCATGAAAGTTATACTGATTGTATATTTAACACGTTTCCAATATCCAATGGGCTTTCTTGTTGCCTTTTGGCTGACAGACTTAGTTAATTTGGCTTTGATCGATCTCTTGACCATAAGACACTGTGGCATATCCCTCAATGTTTCTATTCTGAGCAACTCTGACATTGGATCATCTTGCATAAAGGCATCATCTCTCTCCATCTGACTGGCAATGGCCACAGCATGTTCTTCAGTAGGTGAAAGAGGAGTTCTAGGAATCCTAAGTGTTGCATATGGCAACACAGATGCAATACAATGCATTTTACCATTCTCGTCTTGGTTGAAGCTCGCTGAAATAGTTTAGAGAATTTTTTTTTTGTATATAATGGACAATAAGTGGCATTATTAAAACATTTGTATTTGAAATTATACCCAGAGTCCTAGAAGGCAAATAACGAGCATGACGTGCATGTAAACGTTGCTCAGAAGGATGCTGTAATGTCAGACCCCTTCTTTTTCTCCTCCGTGTTTCTGTCCACCTAATAGAATCTTTTGGATGAGCTATTCATCAAAGGAAAAAAAAATATGTACGAATGTCTTAATAAGAAAAATTATACAGAAACAATTGATGCAAAACAAAGATAAACTAGAGTTTTAGTCATGTAAAGTATTTGGATTACACACGATTAATCTAATAATTTATTAATGGGATTGTTTATTATCAGTTCACTACAAGAATATACTTACACACAGTAGTATCCACATATTCCATGGAAGAATTTCCTTTGCTCGATTCAACCTGATAAGTCTCCATTGTCGTGGTTAACTTGCTTCTGTCAGTATGAAATCTTTATTAAGCTTGAGTAATCATCACCCTGAAGAGGTAGTTTGAGGGTATCCGCGGAAATGAGATAACTTATCAATGCCAATCTCGCTATATCGGATATGCGGATATCTCAAAATCTTATGCTTCATAATATTTGTCTGCACACTGTGGTCTGCACCGACACGTCGTTTGATATTATATCGTCAAGGTATTTTCCATCGTTGCAGATTCGCCGGATTTGGTGGGTGTGTTGACTTTCCTCGAAATGAACCAGCTGAGATCCATATGCATACTGTATAGGTATGTACATTTGAAAAGGCTGTCGGATAGGGTAGGTATGAGCGACGAGGCTTTTTTGGAACGAATATGTTAATTATCTTTCTAAATAAAATATCTTGAACTACAACAGTAAGTAAAAAATTCTAAAGCTAGAAACAGAACAGAAAACTAGACTAGCTTGTTGACTGAAGATAAATAGACTAGGCATTCCCATGTCCGCGCATAAAATTCCGTTAGCTTAACGAAAGGCTTAGGCCAATGAATATGCATCCATTATATTTTACGATGTAATGGACGTACGCTAATGATGTGACCCAGGGTATGTTCGTAAACCTTGTGGGCTTTGTACACCAAAGGGCAAATAACATCGAGCGGTGACATCATGAAAAAGACCCAAGGCATGGTGCCGATTAGTGTGTGCCTGCTGCCTTTCTCTCTCTTACTCTTGTATGTACTCTAGATATCGGTCCGTCTCCTGTTGAACGGTTATTAGGTTAGGTTAGGTCAGATTTAGTCTGCTTATCTTCAGTGAAGTGCCAGGGTGAGTTCGTTCTGCAGCAGTCGGTATAAGTAAGATGTTATACGACTGATGGTAAAACTGAAAATGTTTCCGAATGCATCCAACAATTTCATTGACTTCATTTGCACTGGTGTCAAGTTAAGACATGAATAAGTAAATTATATACCTATACCATAGTAAATTATAGGCATACGTAGCATATATCTGACTCCACATTCAGTTCCGGTAGGCAATTTTTCATAGCCATTGATTTTGATGTAGATAAGAAAAAAAATGTGAAGCTCCTCACCTTTTTTTACCGATAAATATACTTTATTCATTCTCATCAATATACAAATTCGCCTACGATATTTAAGGAACTACTTATCCGATCGATGACTCGATAAACCACCGTTAATTCTAACTCGTATCACGAATCATTGCGAGTTTGGCTTTGAATTTTCAAGAAGACATGCGAGACTGATCACACGTATTGCCTTCTCAACATTAGTCTATATATTTATAAAAATATTTGTATATCGTACAGAGCTTCGAAAAGTAAAGTTAACCATTCAGTCATTTGACACTTCAGTGGGGCCGGCCCTTTGTGCATTCACACGAACGCACAGTATTTCTATAGTTTTGTAGTCGCCTCGAATCGCCTCCAATCGGCCAATCAATACATCCTTAAACGCCAATTCTTTTTCACAGGGAAACGAAACTTGCATGGTAGCAGGGAAAACGCTGGAAGTTGTCCGTGGGAATTCCAACGTGTCAGAGAGCCGATGAACCAACGAGCCAGGGACTTGGATATCATTTAACGACACTAAACGCTAATATGTATATACACACAAGAATATGCGACTCCATAGCCATTCCGCTGCTCTGACATTCTGGTACTGTGCAACGTGGTCTGTCTGGACGACAGAGCACAGAACGAGCGTGGCTTAAAGAGACAGACGCACAATATTGCAGTGGTGCACCTTTAACGGGCTGACGTCCACGCTAGTGAACGTAGACGGTTAAATAACTGTATTTTAGAATGTCCTGACTATATATTCGCGGGACTGTGTCGTACGCGAGGATTTACAACGAATTCAGTTGGCGGCGTGCTACACCGAGCAAAAAATAGAGTCGAGTGACACTGGGTAAAATAGAAGAAGAGCGAGAGCGAGAGGGATGTGGGTGGGAGGGAGAGGACTGATCACTGGAGATGCCTGGGCGGTAGGAGAGACATGTCAGGAAAGAAAGTGACCTCCAATCAGTGACGGGATGAAAGTGTTGATGGTTGTCAATGGCCCGAAGATAATTTTGAAAGATGGACACTGATGTAGGACGCTCTCCACATATTATGAGTCATACCCGAGCCGTTTCCGTTATTTTTTCCACTTGGAAGAAAAGGAACTGTTTCCGGAGTGCGAAGCCAACGACACTCCCAGGTGTTTCGTTATCCAGTCGCTGTCACGTTGTTCGAGCTGTTACCCAATTGCAACTTTGCGTGTCGTCGATTAGTCAACTCGAAGCCATTAAACTCGCTGGCCGCGTAGAAAAACGCAACGCCGATTCGTGCGAAATGCGAGCAACAGGATCACTGCGACACAAAGAGTAGCGATCCTCAAGAAAGTGCGTCTTTCGAAAGAAGGCTTTCTCCATCCTTCTCAAGGATCAGCGGCACATCTCTTGCGTATTTTATTGGCCGTGTCTGACTCGAAAAATCCTTTTAGGCGGAATCGGACTCGATCGGCTGCTACTCCAATTTTCCATGGCCACTTTCTTTCCGTCTTTCCCTCTCGTATTAATTCTCCTAAAACATTCCTTTCTCCCTTGAGCCAAATCTACCGGTGAAAGCGACGCATCCTGATATATAGTATTTTTGGGGCAGGGAGGGAATACTTCCTGTTCCAAAATTACGATAACGCAACGACATGCACGAGGAACGCTCGATTTTCTACTCTGCGTAAAAATAGCTCAATCTCCCAGTGTTCCTTGTTCTGCGGTGGCGCCGTTGGTGATGGCAGCTGGTGCTCCTTCGTCTTGTTTTAACTTCCTGAGAAACACGAGTGGACCAAAGGCGGTATGTGTAATTCGGGGAGATCAATCGATCGTTCAATGACTCTCATTTCCGTACCCCGACGCAACCCGAAGGAGAAACTCCCGTCGACGCTTGCCCAGAGTCAAAGATCCTCAGGACATTTTCCAAAGAGTCGTCTTACAGCCTCAAATATTGGTTCCGAAAATACAGATAAATATTTGGAAATTAGTTGACGCAACGAGTCTCCTCCGTTGAACGTAGAGACTAAATTTCGTAGAGCTGCTATGTCAGGAACATCAAAGCCAACTAACTAACGGCTGTTACATGGCCGATCATAAATTACACCTGCGACTGGTATCGGGCTATCACTGACCTTTTTAACAAAAGCTATAGGGTTTACATCGATTAGTGAGCTAGAGGTGCGCAAGGACTTCGACCGCTGGCACCGGCGGTGTCTGGTCGCCGCTCAGGATTACGGGCTCCGACTCGGTCTGAACGATCCTCACCAAGTTGGCGTCCTTCTTCGAGGGCACCAAGGTGGCTGTGGGTGTACCATTGGGTCTACCGCAGTAACTTGGTGGCCTACTCTCTCGGGTCGTTCCAGGAGCTACGACGCTTCCAGCGTTGGAACGATACGTTGGCGGTGGTGATGACGTTGGCTGAAGCCGATCAAGTAGTAATAACCTTAGCCTGTATTCCTGCATGCTTGCCTGAAACAAAAGAATAACTATACTCTCTAAGGCCAAAAATATGTACATACTCCTTAGCCTGTAAGACTTATTGACCTCGTTAAGGGAGAATCCGTAAGCTTGTTTCTCTGCATATTAAGAGTTTTTGAAAAGCATTCGAGTCAGCCGCAACGAAAGTTAAGTGGCTACCTGATAACTGGGTGGCGGGGTACGGAACTGAAACTCCGGATATATCATAGCGGCGTAGGGATGTATCGGTCGCGCAGGTGGTATCCTCCCCGAGATCCCAGTAAAGCCGAAAAAGCTGCCACAATTTTCTCTACTGGTGACTCGCCAAGCGACAGCACTCACGGTAACCAGGACCATCCCAATGCCTGTAACAGAAGCCGTAAAGCAATCGTGAGATTAACGTCACTCCAGTGCGCGATCGAGCCGCTAATGTGGGCGTGTGTGTCTCCTGATACATGAAACACACGGGTCAGGAGAAAAGGAGAATTCTCAAGGTGAACTCTACTTTGTGGATCGAGTGGATCGAGTGGATCGAAAGGATCGAAAGCATCGCCGTAGTCGGAGAGTGGGAGGCTCCTCCTGGAGAAGTCTCGCAGGCAGCCGTGTGGAGTCACAGGCGGAATTGTAGTTTAGTAGCAGGAGTTAGTGGGTGGGTGAGCGCAGCCACACGTATTGGTACTTTGGTAGTGGGCTATTGGTATAGAGCCTCTACGGAGCGAAGCGCTCTATTGTCCGGGAACGGAATTCTCTGGGTCGCAGGTTATATTCCTAACGTTTAGAAAGTAAGAGAGCCTCGTTGCCATGTTCCAGCACGAAACCCGGGCGTCTCTTTATTTTCTTTCAGATTCTGAGCTTCTCCTCTCCCTTCTCATAGAACCAAGTACCTTTGCGGTTGACGCCTGACTGCAGCCGGAGCCACTCTCTCTCTTGGCGTTGGACCAGGGCCGGCCAAGTTTACCAGGACCATAATGCTACGTGCATGGCAGTACGTACGAGACCGAGTTAATAATAATTCACTCTTGATGCATGATGCACGTAGCTACCACGACAATTATCCGTATCATCTCCTTGGAAACAGGTTAGTTGATTTTAAAAATGCTTCGAGACCCCATTGGCGTCTCTCTTAAGAACGCCTGCTCCGGCGTTGCGTCCCACGCTACTCCACGCTCCTACGTGCCTCTGCACTTCTTGACTACACCTAACCTGCTCTTTTGCATTTGTATTGTCCGAGCAAGGCCAGCCATGGACTAAAGTGTCTACGCACTGGGATTTACGATCCGTGCGAGTTCCTGTTAAACGCTAACGAATGTCATCCACACAATACGCTTACGTTACGCAATAGCGCGATCCCTCCTCTCTCTCTCTCTCTCTCACCCTTTCTGCTATGCTTTATACAAGACATCGGATGGAACAGTGAGCCTGGATTACACTTTACGAGTAGCATAGGAGCAATGCACAGTGGCTAAGCTCGGGTGCGACTATGGAAACCCTTGTCCCTTGTTCTTTTGTTCATCTGCCGTGCGAAAAGAAAAGTTCCTTTTCAGTCGTGGCTGAATTCTCGCAACTTGTACTAGCGAGGAGTCGCGTCTCACTTTGGGGCCATAGTAAAATGCATTTCGAACATATCACTCCTTACATCAATGTTTTCGCTTTAAGATTACCTTGTACTTGTCAGTCCTTACCGATCATAAGCAGAGCCACAGCAATGTGGTCCCTGCCAGTGGCCCTTAAGGCCCCAAGAAGAGCCCCAGCACCTGCACACACCAGACCCACGACACCCACGCCGAGAATCGACCAGAGCACAGGGGGCGAACCTAATCCGCAGCACTGCTTCGGCACTGCGTCCCTGCAATAAGAAACGCAAGCGTAAAGGTAGAGTGACCCACTGACACAGACTCGGGGGATGTGTTCCCGGGGGAAATATGGAAAGACTCGGGGCCTCTAAGGGACACGGGACGCTCCTGCTAGCCACGCGGGACATATAACGGGTCCGCTCGGGTCTCCGCGCAATAACAATCCTCAGAGTCCCAAATAAATTGTATCGATTTCCTTGCAATGTTCAAACACCTAGGGCTTCCCAGTGAGAATAAATTTAAGAGCGGATTGGGAAACCGAATTGTCTGTTTGACGATAGACTCTTAGCATATATATTTATTTTTTTAATGGAGATGCTTCACAGGCGGCCGTTCAAAGTTTGCATGAGATTTTTGACTGCGCACCACTGCGCCCCGCTATCTGACGATTCCGCGTTCATTCTGTATTCGTTGACACCCGCTGCAAACCTAGAACAGACCGATCGATCCAGGACCCGTGATTCTACCTCGAGAGAGACTACATTTCAGAGCATCGTGTATCTTTAACTGACTTGGCCAGCAATGAGAGATCGCCGTTGAGATTGTACTTCTAGGCAATAGCGTAGCCAGCCGATATATCAAGGAGAAAGAGGAAAATTTACTAGAGCCAATAAAACTATCCAAGCAAAGAATTGCGATATACGCTTACGTAGAGACGGCTCAATAAACTCGAAATATCCTCGAGCGTGGTTGTAAAAGGGCATAACTACGTCCCTGGTGGCTACCACTCTCGGATAACAAATCGTGAGAGGCCTGACCTGCCGAAGGCGGAGACGCTGGCTGGAACGGGGAAGGGAAGGCCCAGGCTGAGGCCCCGAAGTCCCAGGTGCGGCGGTGGAGGATGCAAAAATCCAGTGACAGGCGGCACGAGAGGAACGCCAGGAGCCGTGCTCGAAGTGACACACGGACCACCAGGATAATTCGGAGGCACCGAGCTCGTCCTCAGGGCTCTTCTGTGATGTCTGCGAATTCGCCTTTCGCGCCTCCTCGCATCGCGCAACTCCTCGGCTTCCGGCACTTCCACGGACATCTGCGGACTGGCTTCCGTCTGCGCTTCGGTCGAGGCGTACGATCGCGGATTCGATGCACGCGTGATCTCGAGTTCCGTGCGATTCGACTGGCAATGCTCATCGTTGCTGGATGGACTCTGGGAGTTTGGCGAATTTTCCGTCGTCCCGCCATCCACGGCGACGACACTCACGGGCCTCGGGGCATTCTCGGACAGCGCCCCGGCCATCGTACGGCCCTGATCATCGGTTTCCACGGCAACCTTCTCCCTGGCTTTCCCCTGCCTCTCCTCTAGCGGCTTCAATCGGCTCTCCTCCTACTCCTATTCCACTACCTGCTCGTGCTCTTTTGCTCTCTTTCCTTTCCTCTCTCTCTCACTCTCTTGCTCTTTCTCGCTTTGCCTTCTCAGAGCGCGCGACTTTACTCCTTTGTTCCTGGGATTGCAGCAAGCAGATACGTACCCACTGACTGTGCCTATGGCCTGGCCGATCCCAGTCTTGCATCAAGTCGTGCGTCTCGTAGGATTCTACTTTGTGGGAATTAAATATTCTGGAGAGCCTTATCCTTTTTTTTCTCTTCTTTTTATTCTCGCGTGCAGCTTCCTCGAAGTGTATATGACGTCATCGGTTTTAGCTCCTTTCTAGATTCTCGCTGCACGCTCTCTATGACTCTCTAAAGCCTCTAGCATATGTACACAACACGCACAAGTACGAATAGACACTCTGGGCATGCAAAACCATGAGATGGCCACGAGCGATGAGGCTGGAACGACATGAGAGGCGGAGGATTCTCTTTGCGGGAGGTGCCCACGAACGATTACGTCTCTTTCTCTCTCTCGCTCTAAGGATGCCGTTATGGCACAGCTGGCGACGACGTTTACTCGAGCAATTGGCGATTCGTTCTTGCCAAGTGTCGCCGATTGCGAGGGACAGCCGGAGGAACACCGTTAAACGAATCGCAGCGTTAGCGCCACTCTTTATTATCGCCACGGGGTATCGCTAGGGGAGCCTCTTGTGTTATCGAGTCCTGGTTAATCCACTGAGATTAATCTATTCATTGGAATCTGAATCCTCGAAGTTGCATGATTTTCAAAATGTCCACTGCTTTCTCTTGTTCCTTGAAACGCCGATAACGGTCTCCCTTCTTTGCTCTTCTCTCAGTTGATTGCGCAATATCATCACCGCCAAAATTATGTCATAGTCTTTTGTTTACAAAATAAAGCACCGAGTTACCTCTGACCTGTTTTCTTGACATCACAAATTGCCTGAGATTTTCAATGAGATTCAGAAGGTCCAAATTGAGAGTAGCCTCCACCAATCGTCATTTTTATTGCATGTCCATTTCATCATAATCTTGTTTCGCCCAAAGTTTGTCAAAAGATATAGTTACAGTGATGACAACTCTTTTGTGTTTCTACCTCAGTAAGTACTCATGCAGGCTATCACGGCGCTGAATTCATAACATCTGACACTGGTCATTCCCACGACTGATTTGGAAATTCGTTTCCAGGTTCTCAGAATGTACTGCTGTTGGCAGATTTTGTATGATTGGG